ACTTAGCCTATTCGCTATAAATTGATCGAGAAAGTTGCCGCTTCGAGTTGCTGTCGTTGTTGTTAACAACTTGTCCTGCGATGGGGAATCTCGTTCTTCTGTGTCGAGGAAAAGACTTTCTAGTACTAGATTTGACACACACATTTAATTTCTTTCTTTATACACTTCCGTTGTGTGATTTCTTGGCAACTGCGTTTTGCTTATCTCGCTCAGATCATCTGAAACCGTATTATTTTGTTCTTTAATTATCGTTCTTCCTTTACAAATTTATATAGTTCAGCAACGTTCCTTATTTTCCTTACAAGGTTTACACACTCGATCCGATAAAGTTTCGCTTCGATTCAACTTAAAGCCAATGGACTCGCACGCGTTCGCTGAAATCAAATTCTGACTGCATTGTCTGTCTGACGGCTTAAACAAATTTTCAAAGGAAGGCTCACTTTCACATACTGCTTTTAGATTGCTGTTGCAAAACCTGCATGTATCGTTAGCGCTTGCCTATTTCGCTTTTCTACCTGCTTTTTTACATTTTTTTTTTGCGTTTTAAACATAGAAATACACTTTATAGTATACACGCGCATTAACTATGATTATGCATACTGTTGTGAAACCAGATCTGTCATTGGGAAAACCATTAGTTGCGTCTAATCACTGATTGGCTTGTTTTTTAATGGGCGGGACTTGGGCAGATGGGAAAACATATGGCTTTCCTGCAGGCGCTATTTCTTTCTCGCCCCTTCCATTTTTCCTCGCTCTCGCCTTCGCATTCCCCCCTAGCTTTTCCCACCTTCGCCCTGCCCCCTAAATAGCGCCTGCTACGCAGGCTAGCTCGGCTGCTACTGTACCCTTGGCCGTGTACGATGATGTACGTATTTACGCAATCTTTAATCGCGCTGGCTAAGAATAACCTGTATATATACAATAAATTAACATATTCTCCGTGTAAGACGTGGTGGCGCAGAGGGACAAGACTCAGCATGTGTGCTGAAGGTCGTGAGTTCGGTCCCGGAATGCGCGCAAACGAATTTGAATTTTTCTTTTTGCCGAAATTGTTTTTTTTCTCGTTTATTTACCTGTCGCATAGCTGGCTATATGCATTGGGAAGATGAATTTAGATGCATTTCGATGATTTTCGGAAAATTTAATGTAATTTTGGTGGTTTTCTGCTTATGAAACATTCTAGAACCAGTCTCCAAAATGCGCGCATTTTTTGAGCGAATAGTATACTATAGTACAGCCCGGCTGGCAGCCGAGCAATCGGAGACAAAATTTCCGGCTGTCAGCCGGCGTCAAACGCGCTAATCGGGTGGCAGGTTTCTGAATGGTATATTTTTTATTTGGTTGCATGGTATCAAAAGGTTGTGAGAGTTTTTTTAAGTTTATAGACTCTTTTCAGGAACAAAAAGCTAGATTTGGATTATTCTGGGAATCAGATGTCATTTTGTGATGTTACAATCTGTAAGGAAGTAGGAGGGGGATTTCTACTGATGTGTATTCAAAGCCTATGGATACACATCAGTATTTGGATTTTAGGTCATGTCACCCAAAGCATGTATATCGGTTTGATTTACGCATGTCTCGAACATTTAAACTTGAAGGGACTGCTTGAGTATATTTACACAGTATTGGCAGTTGCACAGTACAAAAATTATGGCATCATGACCTAGCTGTATTTTCACACATCTCTCCAGATATTGTGGTGCTAGAAATTGGCACTAATGATTTATCCTCGTTACCACCCCCAGGTGGTAGGGTCACAGATAGAGGAGCTAGTCATTCTGTTGCATGAAACATATATTTTTAAGATGGTATGTGTCTGCCTAGTTACTCTGCATTTGCATAATTGGCATTCAACAAAACACGCCTTACTCTGAATAATTACCTAACAGTGGTATTGGAACATATGCCTATTTTCATGGCTAGATTGGGAGTTATGCAACCATCATATGTGACACCTTTTCTTCCTGACGGGGTACACTTCAATAAAATTGGGCGATACAGTTTGTACCACAGTTATAGGGGTGGCATTCTCAATGCTATAACCATGTTGATGCATTTACATGATGTATTCAATTTTCATTTGTTTTTATAAAGGGGGCAATATATTTGTGTTCAAAATAAAACTTTCTGTCTCTTCGTACATCTAATAGTGTACGAATTTATCCTCGAATAGCTTTAACATCAGCATTTTCTTTTCTTCCTTACACATGTATTTTGATTTAATGATTTAATGAGCTAATGATTTAATGATTTAATATGTTTACAATAATTTTAATAGTCGAAACGAACTAATTTGAGACAAAGTACAATCGGTGCAAGAGACAACTAACAACAACTTAAAACACCATCAAGGGACCTAGCCCTTTTACATTTAACGCAGACAGATTTCCAAGTTCGCGGATTGTCATACTTATAAATATTAGATAGCGCATATTTGTAGTACGTCTTTAGTCCAGATTTGAAAGCTTGCAGGCCAATATCTCTATTACGGAGATCACTATTTAAAACGTTCCACGTTATACACACTCTAATAAGATATGAAGACTGGTATGTTACAGTTTTAGCAAAGGGTATTACAAATCTGATCACGTTTTCGTTGGTTTCACGTCTGGTTATTCCTGATTCAGCTATTATTGGTAGAGCACTCTCATCAATATAGGTATAGTTGTTAATTAACTTATAGAGTAAAACCATGTCCAAATATTCATGCCAATAAGTTATTGGTAGTAACTCCAGTTGATGTAATCTAGTTATGTACGAGACATCGGTGGTAAACCCAAAATTTAAGATGTATTTCATTGCTCTTCTCTGCACCTTCTCGATGTCTTCGATCAACTTAATGGATTGTGGGCACCATACTTGGGATGCATAACCAAAATTGCTGCGTACGAGTTGTAGATACAGAAGCCTCCTTGCATTGATAACAGTCATCTCCGCGGTAGATCGTCTAATTAGCCCGAGGATTTTAGGTCTTAGTTGGTATTAGCATGCTTATTTTGTGCGTATTATACTCAATACGCATGTGGCTTTGTTTTTCTTTTTGCATTCATTGTGAATCCTTTGTTGGCCATATGATAAGTGGTACGGTGATCTGCCATGCTCATTCCTGCCAACATTTTTAATAGGAATACTTCTATAATTTTAAGAGTTTTTACCACAGTTTGCTATGTATGTGTTCTACTTTCTAATTCATACCATTTGGAAACTGCACAATTTCATAGTTATGCTTTTATTCTACATCATGCTAAGTTTTGCTGTTTTTGATAATATGTGATGAATATATTTCTGCCTTTTCAAGTTTTATTTTCTAGAATGCCTCCCATCCATCCCTCAAAGCGTGATTGCCACTTGTGGACTGCATGTGGGATCAGGCAATGTGCGCATAGTGACCGCAAAGCACACTGGGTCGAACTTTTTCAATATGGCAGAAAGCGTGGCGAAAATTTAATGAAGTTCCTTGGCACTTTACTGCAATGTTAAGAGGTAAATACTTTAGTTTAATATATTTTAAGCAAATTTTATCCACCATCTTGATATTTCCATTTCATAATGTGTATTTATCGCCTTATTTTACATGCTATTTTCCCCTTGAAAATAGGATGATATTTTGATGCTATTCTATCTCGTGTTGAAAAGCCTTCAACAGCAACCGAACTACTGCTAAATTTTCGTTTCAACGACCTAATAAACCTAAAATATAATCTTTGAAAAATAGCCCAGTATAAACGTGCTCAAAGCGCCCCTTCGAAAACTTTTTTTTGTTCTAAACATACACATAATTCGTAGGTTGAAATTAGATTATGGCAGCCAAGAGGCCTTCTGTCGTGGAAGGCAACACTCGGCAATAAGCATCAAGCACAAGGCAATAAGCATTGTGTAAGCGAACAGTAAAAGGCACTTTGAGATTCTGGAATGCTTATGCAGAGGCTGTCAATAATGCTTGCAACTCAACAAGAACAGGTTTGTCATTTATTCAACTTAAAGGGCTGTTTACACTTGCAATTTTTGCTGCAATTTGTGGTGCGATTTTCTTCTGATTGATGTGAATGCCAGAGTGGATGGGTTATAAATGTTCAGATGAAGATACATATACTCAGAACATTATTCATTGTTAACTTATCTACTCGTTCACATGCATCAGTTAAGTAGAAAATCGCACTACACATTGCAGCAAAAATTGTAAGTGTAAACAGACCTTTAGACAGTCTTTAACTCTCAAATGCTTTATGTGCTTTATAAGGTCTATGTTTGGGGGTAGGGTTTGGTTTTATTTTATGAAACTAGATATCGAGTTCCGGTGTTGAATGAATATCCACTGTGAATCAGCAGGCTGGTGAATCAGATAGATTTGCTTTTCTATGGTAACTTTTTCAAATTGTATAACATTACTTTTTTTCTTGACAGGTGGAGCGTGTCGTACAAGGGTAAATAAGCACCTGGCTGTAAGGTACACAACATTGTCCCAGGCTGAAGAATCCTTAAAAATTGTTTACGTGTCAAATGATTTTGGTTGCTACAACACTGGATGCAAATCACCCTCTCCTACAACAACCTCCACTGATGGTCTCTTATCGACTTTATCCCCTGTGTTTAAATCCTCACCAATTCCCAAGCAGGAGAATACAGCTCCTCAATATGTTGGTGATGTTGTCCAGACATTTTTAAAGTGTTTTTAAGGTTCAATGTCATCAAGGTTAAAAATGCAAATCATGAACTACATTTTTAAATTAGTATTAGTGGACATCGGTGGAATGGAATATCTAAACTATGTCTCTCCAGACTTTCTGAACATATGTTTCAGTTCAATGAAGACATTACAGGAGGAAAAGAAGCATAATCTTATTCTAGAATTGGGCAAGTGTTTCAAAAGAACAGATGTGAACTGTCAGTGCAGAATGCCACTCGATAGAATGCCCTTTGGTCTTCTGGACTATAATATTCGTTTTTTTTGCATCTAATCGAACAAATGCATTAGGGTATGAGGAACATGGCTTGATACAATGTTCTCCCAGTTTGGACATAAATGGTTGTGTCTTCATAGAAGTCGAGCATGGCAATATGAAGCGGATGAAGCAGACATCAAAGCAGATGCCAACACTATTGTCAAAGATAATGGAGATGCCAGCACTGCTGTCGAAGATACAGCAGATGCAAATGATGAAACAGGATTGAATTCACTCATGGAAAAAGCACTTCAGCAAAGTGGAATTGACCTAAACATCTATCATGGAGATATTAATGATTTACATGCTGCAGAGAATATAGTTCAGCAGTCATCATTACAAGATGTGGATTACGATGAATCACTTGAAACATTTGACAGAATTGGAAAGCTCTTTGGCAGAATTCACACTTTTGAGTGGTTCATCGTTAGAAAAGTTGTTCATCCATGAATGTTGGTGAGAATTCCAGAATATGTGTATCAGGTAATGCCCTTCTATATAACTATTTGGCAAAGGTTCCAGGATTGTATAGCAAGACATTACTAGACTGAAGAATAATATAACTTATTGGATTCCTATGAGCCCAATATTCCTATGAGACTTGAGACTTCAATATTGAAGTAAAGACCTAAAATGTTGCCATTATAGGCAAGAAGAAATCCAATAGATGTTTTAACAAAAGCTAAGTGGTGGAAAAAAATATTTAACCCTTTAATGCGCAATGCTCCCCCATGTGCCCTACTTTAGAATTGATTCTGTCTAACATCAGATGATTTTATTCGTCAAGGGAAGAGTCTTTGGTTTAATGTTCCAAATCTTTTTCTTTACTTTGACATATTGTTTGTTGCATATTTAAAATTGGTAAAAAATGGCTGAAATGATTTTATAAACTAGGAAAAAAGCCACAATAAGCTACTGTGCAACATGCTCATTTCTAATACTCTCCTGTCCAAAATTGTACAAATATCAGATCGGCATGTGACCATTTTTAAAACTTGTGATTGGTTAATTGATACGGTTAAGTAATACTATAACATATGATATTGTTAGCAATTAGAATTTAAGATATGTGTTATTACTGTATTATTCAGAAGAGCGCATTTCAACTGTCGACTTCGCAACAAACCAGCTGATAAATCTTTCGCACTTATGGATCCATGCAACAGACAGTGGGCAGATTGAAATAATGCATGGAAATGCTGGACCAGTTCAAATGGAGAAGCACCATCAGGTTCGCCCGACCAAATCCAAAGTCATGAAATGTCATCCAGCCATCTTCAATCCATTAAAAGTAAGATTATTGTTATATGTGCTGTCTAATTCATGATGGAGATTGTGCCAGATTATTGTATTTGGCAGCGTTTGGAATTGACTGCTATATAATGAGTTAATCAATGCATCATGACAGGCATCATGGCAGTTTTAAAAATTCAAGGATGGATTTACTTGGGGTCAACTATTTTCATTCTCCTTTTCAGGGCAAGATTTATGTTGCTAGTTTAGGACCTTGAGCTTTACAAAACGTGTCAAGTCTTCAGGTTTCTCAAGAACAGTTGATGTACAAGTGAGTAGAGCAAGTATTTTTGCACCATCATTTCAAAAAAAGTTTATTAATTAATATTGTTGTCTGACGTTCTAATGTAATTAATTAATTAATTAATGAGAATACTAATAACATATTTTGTAAGATATATATTAAGTAAAACTGATGCACAAGGGCTGTAAGGTAATTTCAAAAATATAGATAGTAAGTATAATATTGTGTGTTGTGATGTAGGTTTTGCAGTTCACAATTTTCTTTGATTTGATATTTGGTAACATTTGCACAAACGTTAAAATTCTCACTTTCCACTTACTGTAGATGAAAGTCTTGAAGCAAGCTCGAGTTCCGTAGGTCGAATGGTGGATAGTGCAAGGATATTCAGAGTTACAGACAAATGATTAGAATCTGTAGTAAATATTAAATGATGATGCAAATATTTTATAGGCCTATCAAGGGTGTTTGTGGTCTTACCAGAGAGATTGTTGTTAGATTGGTCACCCACTTGGAGAGTAGAGAAATCGGGAGACAAGAATATGTGGCGAGAGATCTTCCTCCAGAACACCCCAGGGCATCCTCAAGTGATGATTGTGAATGTTTATATTCAGTCGTGCACGAAATGCTTGGAAATATTTTTGATTTAAAGCAGTTTCATGATTACCAGCCCAAGATTTTAAACAAATTTACTAAACGGATAAATCCAGACCTAACTCAAAACTAAACCCTAACCCTAATACTATCCCTCACCCTAACCTTAACCTAACCCTAACTTATTTTAAAAATTGTATAAAAACGGAAATCTTATTTTGAAGTATACTATCTAGCAATTGCCCTTGCAGTAAGTTCTCCTTTTTGTGGCAAGGATGATCGATTGGCAACAAATATTCCCGGGTCTCTTCGAAATGTGTACTTTATCATGTCTCTCCTGTGCACAGTCACCTGATGGTTTGTTGAAAGAGGGTAGCTCACTTAAGTAGCGAAATTGCTCTTTTGCACCAGTCCAGTAGTACAATTTCAGGATAGTTTTTTCTACGTTATAAAAACGGAAACCTTATTTTAAAGTATACTATCTAGCAATCACCTTACTGCAAGAGCAAAGTTCCACAAAGCTCCAGTTGCTTTGCCACCACATCAAATTTAAGGTGGCTCCCTACAGTTTACTAGAAAATGGAAGATCTCTGATTTAGACACAATTTTTTCAACTATTCCAGAAAAAAAATAACAGACTTCGAAAAGGAAGCGCAACTGTCATTGCTATGGCAACAATATGGCTTCAATATGGCCGATATTTTGGGTTTAAAGTTATTTAACTTGAAAATAAAGTCAGTTACTCCCATTTTTTATTTCATAAAAAAATTCTTTTAGTATTTTGTGAATCATGGTTTTTTTTAAATTCTATCATGTGAAAAAAATGGTTAGGAACTATTACATTTTCTGATCTTAAATTACTTTAAACCAAATATATTGGCCATATTGAAATGTCATTTTTGCCATAGCAACAGCTGTAAATTTAAAAAACTACGACCTCCTTAGTTATTGTTTTATTCAAGTCTTTGTTTTTCAACAAATAATTATTGTCCAGAAATTCATACCCAAATCAGAGAATCTCCCATTTTTTAAAAAGTGTAGGTAGCAACCTTAAAGTACAGTTTTAATAGACAATTTCACATTTCAATTTTATTCATATTATTTACAATTATGGTATTTAAACAACTTTTTTACTGGCCTATACAACTTCGTTTGGTCATGGGCTGTTCTTTGTTATTTCGATTGTAAGATAAAAACCAATTTTTAAATAGGTTGTACAGAGAGCGAATGCACTTTATGGAAACATCAAGTCTTTTCTTCCTAACAATGGGTGTAAATATTTTGTCAATTCACTAGGTATATAACCAACATCGTTAGACAAGTACCTTGTCATGACGTACACGTTTCCAATGGCATTTTTATCATGTTTATTCTCAGGCTAGCTCTGCTTCTAGCTTAACTCCTTTTCGACCGGTCCTGTGAAAACTATTGCAGAACTGAAATAGTATTTTGGAGGTTCATATCTTCGGTTCAGTACATGCTACGTAGCTGAAAATACCACCATTCGATTCAGCGAGATAATATCTCCTGATTCCTAATGATAGTTTTAGTCAAAGACAAACATTATAGCGATTTATGACCTTTGAAGGGTCAAGAGGTGTCATATTTCAACAAATTACATATTTGTTCGAAAAATGTAAACAATGTATCACTAAGCCATACCTTTCGCCAGACACAACTTTGGCCCCTTCGAACATGTCTTTTTCGTTGTAGTCTTGTTCGATTCACAATCAAAAACACTATTTACAGTGTTATTTTGAACCTTGTAGCCTCAGTTTTTCGTCTTTTATTTCGATATTTCAATCTGTTGCGATATTAGTGAACTCAGCGGGATATTTTTTGACCGGAAATAGGATTTAGATTCGCCAAAACATCGCGTGTTTACATCCTAGCGCTCGGGAAACGTCGGAAATCGATTCTAAATGTCAAATTACATCTGCAGCATGATTTGCACGTGCATCGGGTTACAGGTACTTCTTATTCGCCAATTTTAGCGTGTGGCAGGCGCATGTGAGTAAAAACCCGATATTTTTAAAAACTCAAAATAAAGATTTGTACTGGCTGTATTCAAGTGAAATTCTGGATATAAAAGCGCTTGAATACAGCACATATTTCAC